TTAATGGTAGGAAGGAAAAGGAATGATTAATTCTTATCATTTAAAACAATAGTTTGCTAAAATTGAGAAAAAAAAAACAAACTTACCTCTCTCGCACGATCACTCGGTCGTACGCCCCTCTCTCTGTTTCGCGATTTTCGAGCCGACTCCTGTAGGAGTAGGAGTCACGGCTATAAAAAGGGGGGGTTGGCCGATTCAGTTGAACGGGCCACCCATTCGGTTCATTACATTTGCTTTGCTTCCAGTTAAATAGAGCATGTAATAATTTATTTTAGTGGAAAGATAGGGCATAGCCCTGTACATGGTTGAGGTATTATTTAAGAAGACAGAGAGCATGTTGCTTGCATATTGTGATAGATGGAGTAGTTTATTAGTGTGAACCTCTAATTGATTTGTGAATTTTATGGACAAGTTCCTGAGTTCTTTGAGTGAATAGCCTTGAATGATGGGAGACTTTGTGAGTCTTTCATGTGACTTCAGTAGGTTAATATTGAGGGTTGAATTAGAATTATTTCTTGGACAACTTAATGAAATTCAACACTAGTTGACTCAAGGCTTTAGGCTACTTCTAGCTTATCGAGCTTTAAGTTGTATATAGTTCAAGACGGTTCACAATCAACAACTTGTTGAAACCAGTTTAGCTCGCGATAACTTAATTCACTTAACCTTGGCGAATATGAGTATTCACTTGTTGAACCTCAGGTGAGTTTTAGATTGAGGTTGAATTCCCTTCTTAAAATCGAGAATAACTAGTGTAAAAGTTCTGATTAACCCAATTCAACTTGGGTGCCTTGAGCTGATATGGATCAATGGCTCTATAGATTGCATAGATCTTTGATATATGTTTGACACATTAGCACAGACGCTTATAAATCCAAGGTTCATTATAAATTTTCCATACTTACCACATCAAAGTTGATGTTTGATTCAATTTTATTCTTGGAAAAATATCAAGGTTTTTCTAAACAAATAAATCAAATCCAAAGAGCATAGGGAAAGAGAGAAACTAGGCCTCAACAATTCTCTAAGTGAATTGATATCCCCTTTAACAGACAAAGGTGAGTTAAACTGAGTTATAGAGAGAAAATCCACTGAAAAGAGATATTATGAAGTTAATTTTTTATAGATTCTAAATAGAACTTTTTTGTGATATAGTTTCATGGTATACTGTTTCATTTTCCTGCACACAACCAATAATCTCCTATTTATGTGTATGAGTGTTGATGGTTAAATTACAGAATTGACTAAATAACATAATTACATAGATGGAACTAGATGTAGTTAGCTTTATAATGAGTGAATTATGCTAGTAGTAAATTTGTAGCCTAGAACCTTGGGTGAGTTTTGCATTGAGGGAGGCTACCTTTGGCAATCATTTTTAGCAAAAACATATAATCAGTTGGTGAGTAATCTAAGAGATTTTTGTTTTTTTATTGGAGAATAGCCTTAACTAATTGACAAGTTATGTGAGTCCTTCAAACGAGTTAGTAGCTCAATATTGAGGACCTAGTTAGAACTGATTATTGGGTGTCTCGATGAGATTCAGCTCCGGGCGACTCAAGAAAGCTTTGAGTGACTTAAGGCTCGACAAGCATCATGTTGTAGGCTATTCAAGCTAGTTCATAATCAGCGAATTGACCTGATTCAAATTCTTATGCTGACTTGATTAATTGGACCTAGGCTAATATGGTGTATAATGGTCAAAATTATTTTTAACTCAAAAGCTTAAGCCTATAATTGAAGGCTAATCAGTTGGTATTTTTTATATCACATTTTTCAAGTATCCAATGGTGGATTAAACTCAAAATCTTATGTCTTATCGATATTCTTGTTTAATTACCAAACAACTTCAACTTTTTTTTTTCTTGAAAAAAATAGGCTTCCGTCCTATCATAATAAGCATTCTTTGTGTCACAATCTAGCTTGGTGTACATTTTTTCTCTTTCTACACATTTAAATTTCTCCATGTGATGCATGTGTATATTTGTTAAATAATATGAGCGATTATTAACATAACTTAGTGAGTGCATCATATTTCAAAATTATAGTAATATAGTGAGATTTTTAAACAAGACGCATTCTTACTTTTAGACATACAACAACAACAAACCTTTATCCCATTACTGGAAGCCAACTACATTTAATCTTTTTTCTCTATTGTGTCCTATTAAAAGTCAAATTCTCATTTAAATCTAATAAAAAAAGTCATTTTTAATACTTTCTAACCTAGTCTTTTTAAAATATAAATACATAATAATCAATTAATTTTTATTTTTAAACATATAATTTTTTGCTTATTATTTTATTTTATCATTTGATATGAATTTACAATTTTACTATTATTATTTTCTATTTAAAAAAGAATTCTAAAATTAAATTATCATTTAAATTCAACTTCATATTTTCTTTATTAATTAAGAATATAATTTAATACTATAAATTTTTCAATTATCTTCTTCTCTTTTCTCCCTTTAAAATCTTAATATCAATTCCTTCTTAAAAACTATTTTTTTTCTAATAATAAAATGATAAATGAATTTATCATATTAAAAAAAGCTAATCTTCCCCGTGCATCTTCACTAACCTTTTGTCACTTGTCTATTCCCTCTCTTTGACACAACTTGCGAGATGCTTACACCGTAGGCCTCACGCACGACTCTGCCTGAAGACACTGAACGTTCTCATTTTCCTCACTCAATTACTTACAGTTTCTCTCTCTCAATCTCAAACTCACTCGGTCATTGAATGCTTTGATCTATCTCGCTATCTCTCATGGTTCCCATTCGTCTCCCCATTTCTCTCAATTTTAAAGGTACAAACACCCTTTTGACTTTATCTCCCATTCTAATAATAGAAACGATGCAGTCATTTCAATCAAATCGGGTTGAACAATTATTTTTAAGGATATTACAGCTTGAACCAAGCATAAAGATTTCCTTATCGGTTGGTAATTGAACCAAGCATAAATATTTCCCTATCGTGTGGTGTTTGAAAGATGACTTCAAACTTTTAAGCTAGTAGCTTTAATGAAATGTGAAAAAGAATGTGCTTTTACAGTTTTACTCATAGATGCTAAAGTACTTTATTGAGCTTGTCAGTTTAGATACTTCCATATTATTCTGTGAAGGTAGGCCATGTTTCTTCTCCTATGTTCTTAACATGGTTCTTGTTGGAGGTTCATCTAATATTTCTTTGGATTCCTGCATTGAATATTTTTAGAAACTATTGTTTCGATTGTGTTAACAATTAATGATTCAAGGTTCAATTTGTACTATGTATTTTTAATTGATAATAGATCTAGAGACTTGAAAATATTCATGGTAGAGGCAGACCTAAAAAGACTTGATTATAAAATATTAGAAATGATCTTTCTTTATTAGATTTAAATGAGAATTTGACTTTTAATATGACACAATGAAGAAAAAGGATTCATGTAGCCGACCCCACGTTAGTGGGATAAAGGCTTGATGTTGTTGTTGTTTTTGTTGTAATAGATCTAGAGACTATGAACTTAGATGCACATAAAACATAGATGATAAGATCTTAGTTAAAGATGAAGACATGCAAAAATGAATACTTCCATAAACTATCAATGAGTGTTTAAATAATAAATTATTTTGGAATAATATAATACACAAAATAATAAGGTATGCTATAGATTGATTAAAAAAAAGTTAAAATGACATTCTCTTTGAAGTAGATGCTTAAAGGTAAAGCTTTTTGTTCTGATCTGATATCTACTAAGATGCGGTTAACAAATCATTTTAATAGAACTTTGATGACTATAATAGTGCTAAATGATTGGAGAATAATTTTTTTGTAATAGTATTTAAGAATAAAGATGACCATCTGTTAATTATATAGGAATGAAACTTGGGATTCAAACAATGAAGCTATAAGAGAGCGCATTGCAATATGAAAAATTAGTCAATTTCAGATAGTCAATTTATTTTCATATTAGTAAGATCTATTATGGCAACAATTTTGGTGTTAAGACAATTAATGAAAAATTAGAGGGGGCAGAGAATGAAGTTTTATATGAATTTTGTTATTATGAGAAGGCAAATGTTCAAGTATCATAAAAAATAATTTGATGAGCACCAAGGAAGAAATGAAAATGTAACTTTTAGAGTTAGGGTTGGGTAAGTAAAAGTGAGAAGTGACTCATGAGCATCACGTGATAGGTAGATATTGTGGTGACAAACTACAATTAGGCTAGTTTGTTTTATAAATACAACAAGTATTGGATTGTAAAAAGTTATTAATGGCTAAGTTGAGTGCGAATAAAAATGAGAATATTTAGATTAATTTTTGACAAAGTTATGAATGTTAAATTAAAGGTTGATTATATTCGATGAATGGTATATATGAGTGGCATCTACAAGATATGGATAATTTTAAGTGATTTATATGTCCAATAAAGGACACAAAATTAATGTCAAATGTTTATGCATTAAAATGAGTAAACCCAAGATGTCATGGATAGTAGTTTTTTTCAAAAAGAACTACAAACAATTGGTTTAACATCTTGACCCCATATGGAATGAATGAAAAATGATGATTCATAATGTTAAACCATACACTTCATTAGCCTGTGTTGATAGCGACTCACTGTGCTTATTCGGTATCCCTGCCATCATCTCAACTAGATGGCTTCCCACTCACTCTGGCATGACTCAGTGAGTCGCGGTGGTCTGACTAGGCGGCTACAGCAGTCACTTTAATCATTTAGTTTTTGGTTATAAAAACCGTATTACTGTAGCAATGTTTTGATTAAGTAATAATGAATGAGAGTCATCTGATATGATCATCGTCTTCCTCCTGTTCCCGTTTTCTTCTTGGTTTTACGTTGCCATTTAACTCTCGTTTCACATAAAGCCGACTCCACATAGTTGAGATAAGGCTATTGTTGTTGGTTATGATGGCATAAGGTATAGCATCATTGCCTGTTTGATATCTTTGTCTAGAAAATGGAAATTAAAATTCAATACATTTTGTAGGTTGTGATGCCCACAGTAGAAGCAGATGTAGCATTTGGTCTTGGCAAATTTCATTTGACACCAGATGAAGTAAAATCAAGAGTCTCAGTTGCTTTGGATGCTGTTGGCATGTTGAAATACTCGCAAGTATGTTTCTGAAATAAAATAAATGAAGCTTTCCGCCGTTTGGCGACAATATGGATTAGCATTTTTTGTTGCTATTTACAGAGGCCGATTCAGACTCTCAGTGGCGGTCAGAAGCAAAGAGTTGCTATTGCTGGTGCTCTAGCTGAAGCATGCAAAGTTCTACTATTGGATGAGTTGACAACTTTTTTGGATGAGTATGACCAGGTAATCATTTGATCTATCGTCTGAGCAATCAATTTTCTTTTTGTTTATTGATTTGGTGTGTTTCCTTTCCTTGGCCTTGGCCATTTTTCTTAATCATTGAAATATTTATTTCTCTTCAACTATACACTACTAACGACCAGGTAGATAACTGAATCCTTCCACTGTTACCTGATGCTTCTGTCTAATGTGCAAAAAGCTTGTGTTATGACCCTTCCTTAAGCTTGTATGAAACATCCATTGAGATGTTATGCAATGCAATGCTTACTAATGTTTTTGTTATTTTTATCTCCAAGCAAGAAAAACAACTTGAAATTCAATCTCTAGTTTTCTCCTCACAAACGCAGTTAGCCTTTGGAACTTTTCTGGAATGCGTTTTAGTCATATTAAGCATTTCATTTTTTTCTTAGTTTTTAGCTGTAAGGTCCTTCCCTTGTACAAGAAAATATTCAGTTTCTCATCAGTTGGCTGCGTGAACTTACAAATTAAATTTGTTACATTATCATTCAATTGGATGTGATTGAACATCAATATTAATTTCAAACTGTACAGACTTTCTCAAAATTTCCTCTTAAGTAATTTTACTTTTATACTCAAGTTTCATTTGATTGCCTGAAGTTACAAATTATGCTTAGAAAAATCATAAATATCTTAGATTCCATCGTTTAGGCTTCATTTGGGATGACTTTTTTACCACTTCTTAAAACAGCTTTCTAGTACAAAAATTTTAATTTATGTACTAAAAAGCTGCTTTAAGAAGTGGTAAAAAAGCTGTCCCAAACAAAGCCTTAGTTGGATATAGTTAGCAATTAACATTAATTTTAACTTTCCAAATACCTTTAAAATACCTAAAAGTTTTCAGTATTTTCTAGCACATATCTTCTATTCACAAGCAACCAAATGATCATTAAACTTATTTTTATTTGCATTCTGCACCAGCTGGGAGTAATCAAAGCAGTTAAGAACTGTGTTTCTAGTAATGGAGAAGTTGCTGCATTGTGGGTAACACATCGGCTAGAAGAACTGAAGTATGCAGATGGTGCTTTTTATATGGAAGATGGACGTATTGTTACGCATGGTGATGTTCCAAGTATCATTGATTTCCTGAAACAAAAGCAAGCGAACTACATTGAACATTTCAATCTGTAATTTTTTTTTTCTTATGTGAATTTGAACGAGTAACTGATACCTGTATGGCTTAGATCGTCTAAGGCTTCATTTGGGATGGTTTTTTTACTATTTTTTAAAGCTGTTTTTTATACAAAATTTTAATTTTCGTACTAGAAAATAGCTTTGAGAAGCAATAAAAAAGCCGTCCAAAATGAAGCCTAAAAAAATTTTTTAGTTTAATAAGTTTTTATATTAAAAAAATGGTTTGATGAGTAGCAAGAAAGTTGTCTCAAATAAAGCCTTAATTAGAAATACATGACAATGTAATTTTATCTTATGATAAATATTGACTTTGGTTATTGTTTTGTGTAGCAAAATAGTTTTCTTCCTGTTATCACACAACTTTATTATTATTATTCTTAACTGCCCTATTTTGATTGTTTGTTTTGTATTTTTTATTAAAAAATAAGTCTGGAATTAGAAAAAAAAACTCAAAAGTCTCTAGACTATTTGATGTGGCGCCTAATTTAGTCTCTGAATCTAACATAATTCTAATTTAATCCTTTAATAATTTAAAATTGATCTAAAATGATTTTCCAAGTTTGATTATGATATAAAATTAATTTCAATTCAATTTTTTTATTATATAAAATTGATCCAAATTTAATCCCAAAAAAAATTATTTTGGATCAATTTTATATTATTGAAAGACTAAATTAAAGCAAGGTGTTTACATATATTAATAGTTAGAGGACTATTTTAAAGTTTATCCCTTTTTTTCTATATAATATATATCAGTCATATGATTTATTGTTTTTGTGAACTTTTTCTAATGCCAGTATTAAAACTTATGTTTTACTTTATTATGATCAATGGTAGCAAGAAATTAAGGATCCGTCTGGGGTGGTTTTTGTATTGTTTTGCAAAGCTGATGTTGATGAAGTAATTTTTTAAAGCTGTTGTAGAAAATAATTTTCTAATATAAAATTTGTTTAATATAGTAAAAAAAAAAAAGAGATCAAATAAAAATTATGATTATGATCTGAAAAGCAAAATAATAAAAAAAATTTACCAAATGAATCTTAAGGCTTATTTGAGAAGTCTTTTTTTACTGCTTTATAAAGCAAAATTTGGAACAAAAATTTTTTGAACTAGAATTTTTGTAATAAAAAGCATTAAGAAAGCCGCCCCAAACGAAGCCTAAATCTGAGGACAAATTATTAGGTCCGGACATCCACTAAAAATTTGCCACATGGACTGTGCTTTGAGTCAAAAATCTCAGTCAAAAGCGCAGGTAAAGTGCAGTAAAAAAAGCACAGTCAATGTGTAGTCAAAGCGCACCTAAAGAAAAGTCCACATGGCAAGTTTTTATTGGATGTCCCGACCTAGAAATATGTCCGGTGACCGGACCTAATAATTTGCCAAATCTGAGACTTTCAATTTTTGAACTCATTTATGAGGTAGAAATCATATTGACTTATTGAATTCATGTAATTCATTTCTAGGCAGAAAAAATTTGAGGTTAATTCATCCTTCATGCATAAAGACTTTAAGAGGTTAATTCAATTATTGAACTCATTGAGAGGCAAGTACGAAATGAAGATAAACTTAAAGAATGGCGCGGAAGGCACTTATGGAGGAAGTCCACAACGAACTAGTACTAGCATATGTGGTTCATTTTGCCAAGGTGGCTCTTTCAATTCATGAAGGAGTTCATGGGCGGAACCACCTTAGCCCAGGGGGGCAATTGCCCCCCCCCCCCATAAGAATCAAGGCGGGTTCCGCCCCTGAAGGAGTTGGTGAAGAGGCTTCCCACTAACTCACTGACTATCCTTAAATGACTTTGAATAGGAGAGGTGAACTCAATGAGTACCATAAGGGCACTTACTGTCGAGGTGTTCCCCCCCTTCACTTTCATTGAAGTTGATAGCCAGCAAATGATAACCCCTATAATGATGTGGTGGTCTTCATGGTGTTAATCATAAATTATCAAATAAGTAGCATATTGATCGCTTTAGGTAGCATATGGTGAACATTATTGTAAAGATTTTTTATGAGAAGATGGACCTTGGTGCTTCTCACCTAACACTAATTTATAGCTAGGGGTGTCAATATTCGACACGACACGAAAACCTGATCCGAATCCGACCCAGAATTTTCGGGTTAGACCCAACCCTAACGGGTCGGGTTTGGGTTCTCGGATTCAACTCGTTTAAAAAATGGGTCAGGTTCGGGTTGACCCGACGGGTTGTCGGTTCAACCGAGAAACCTGTTTGAAACTCTGCCCGCCTCCTTCCAGAAAGCCCGCACGACCACACCCACCCCGCGCGACCTCGCCCGCCCTACACACTCTCCCCGCGCGACCACGCCCGCCCTGCGCGAACCCTGCGCGCGCACTCCCCCTGCGAACCATGCCAGCGCGCCAGGCAGCCAGCCTTCCCGGGTCGGGTCGGGTCAACCCGGCAACCTGCCGGGTCGGGTCAGGGTTCGCATTTCAGACCCGTTTACCTACCCAGTTCGGGTCGCCCTGTTTGAACTCGGGTCAGTTCCGGATTCGACCCGAACCCGACCCGTGACCCGAAATTGACACCCCTACTTATAGTCCTCTCTTTTCATTTTCTAGGGAGTGCATGGAGGTAAAATGAGTGATTGCTTTGTTGATCTCTGGGGGAGAAGGAGAAAGATAATTTATTATTAGAGACAACTTCTGGTAGTTAACACACTAACTACATATAATGTCATCTTTAGTCAACCACTGCTACTTGTATTTTCGACAATCCTCTATGCATATTGTGATGCCATGAAGTTCTTAGTTGGAGCTTTTTGAATAATAGGAGAGGTGAATTATTGCATAGATTTCATTGTTGTATCATGTAGGCTCGATATTAACGAGAAGGCGAGCCGATTAAGCAAAAAAATTCAACTAGTTGCAACTATATTAGTTGAGCAAATCTGCAATGATGTTCAAAAGCTATTAGAAGTTGAATTCATCAGGGAAGTGTGACATCCATAATGGATTTCAAATGAGGTTATGATATAATAGACAAATGGTAAAAGGAGAATGTGCACAAAATTTCACAAATCTAAATTCAAATTATCCCAAAGATAGCTATATGTTCCACAAATGGTATTAGTTGACTTTGCAATTACTTATCTTGTGATAAACTTCTTGGACGCCTTCTCAATGCTTATGAAGAACTCACATGGATTTTGATCATTTCTTTTGTAGTGAATTCATCCATACCTTTTAGGCTTATTTAATTCATATTGTTATTGCCATCTGTTAAAGTCGGTCTTAGCGAAGCTATACCACTCTAACGACTAATAAAACAGGTTGTAGAACTTAGCAAGTTCCAAATGAAATACACATGAAGAATTGCTCAACGTTTTCAAAATCGGACCGGACCGGCCGGTTCGACCGGTTTAACCGCGAACCGGTCTAGCGGGCAGTCCGGTTAGCCAAAAAAACCGGCTGTAAGCAAAACCGTTAAAAAACCGGTCAAAAACCCGGTTGAACTGGTGAACCGCCGAACAGGGCAGGTTTTGAAGAACCGGCCGGTTCTAAGTGTAGCGAATCTCAGCCGTCCAAAAATGATCAAACGCGCGTAATGAGGCTGGTAATCGCTCCTCCACCCTAAGGGGCTGTTTGGCAACAAGTGGGATTTAACTTTAGTGGGATTTAGTAAATCCTATAATCCGGATTTAGTAAATCTGAAATGTGTTAAATCCTGAAAACTGTTTGGCATGCCAAATGTTAAATCCTGTTAAATCCCGAGAAACTGTTTGATAACATATTTCAGGATTTATAGCAGTTAGGCATTTAAATGTGAAGAACAAGGTTTCAGAACCGGACCGGACCGGCCGGTTCGACCGGTTCAACCGCGAACCGGTCCGGCGGGCGGTCCGGAGAGAGTGAGCAACCGGGTGTTTTAAGAACCGGGTAAAAACCGGTTGAAATCCCGGTTGAACCGTTGAACCGTTGAACCAGGGGGTTCTGAAATAACCGGCCGGTCTGTTAAAGCTGTAATTTGAGCCCTTGATCTGCGATCTAATGGCTTAGATAACTGGGTATCGGTAATTCGGTATAAGTGTATTACTTGTTCGCTCGTATCGTCTGCCCTAGCATACGCGAACGACGGAACGAGACTCGGAGCCTCGGACGATCCCGACGGAGGTTTCGCGAACAAGACTTCTTCTTCACTTATGTTCCCTCGTCCGACCTCCCAGCCGCCGGCGAACACGTTGGTGAAGAAGTTACGTTGCTTTTGGCCTCCTACCCGACCCGTCGAGCTCAGCCACGAAGGTTCTTAAAATTTTTTTTTTTTGGGGTAATTTTTTATGCATTTAAGCTTGCATTTATTCTCCAAAGCGTATCGATATGCTTGCATTTCTTCTCCATTTATGCTTGGTATGATTTTTTCAGTTTATGTGGCATTGTGGTAACCCTAAATCCCTAATGTTAGTGTTGATGGGCATTAAAATGTTTATGTGCATTTGGAAGAAGAAGATGATATGATAGATAGAGATTAAAATGTTTATGGTGTGTGTGAAAAAATCAATATTGAAATGTTTATGTGCATTTGGAAAACAAATCAGATATATCATTTGGAACCATGGGGGCTGTTTTTTTCAGATGAAGCTTCACTAACTGAAGCAATTGAACTACATTTGTGAATTCCCATAGCTTCTCCATCGCATAGGCTTTTGTGTTTCTGAAGATGAAGTTGATAATGTAGAGCTTATAACTTGCTCTTTCCTAAATGTTTATACTAAAACTTTTATTATATATTCTTCAATCTAGTGAAATCCCATAGCTTCTCCATTTGTGAATTTATTATATATTCTTCAATCTAGTGAAATCCCATAGCTTATGGGAGATTTATTATAGATTATGATGATAATTGATTTTTTTGTAAATTCAGAATGGATCAACCAACAATTTCGTCTCATAGTGTACGTGAAAAGATCGATATTGCTTAGGGTCATTGTAGTGAAAGTAAATGTTCAGATGGAAAAAAACAATATAGATGTCTACATTGTGGGATTATATACAAAGGTGGAGGAATTAATAGGATAAAACAACATCTAGCAGGGATAAGAGGTAACATAGCTTCGTGCAAAAAAGTTCCACATGACATTCGTCATCAGATGCAAGAGAATTTAAGAGAAATAGGCAAGAAAAAACAACAAACCCAGGAGGAGTTAAAGCAAAACACAATAGTTTTTGTTGATGAACATATGGATGAGGAAATAGGCTCTTCATCACTTCCCAAGTCACAAGCCTCTGATGCACATCATGAAGGACTTCATAAAGGGAAGAGAAAGAAAGATGACATAGATAACTTTTTTGCACCAAGAACTAAACCTGGTTCTCAACCATCATTGAAAAGTGTAATGGCATCCAAAGAAGCCATACACCGTGCTGATTTGGCAGTTGGGAGATGATTTTATGACAGTTGCATTCCATTTAATGCCATAAACTCTGCTTTTGCACAGAAGGCTGTTGATGCTATAGCTGCAATTAGCCCTAGTTATAAGTTTCCATCCTATCATAAGTTGAGAGTTAATCTTTTGCAAGATTGTAAAGAGGAATGTAAGCTGTTGATAGATTCATATAGAAGATCTTAGAAAGAAATTGGTTGCACACTCATGGCAGATGGTTGGACAGATAACATGAATAGAACTTTGATTAATTTTCTTGTTTATTGTCCAAGGGGCGTTGCATTCTTGAAATCTATGGATGCTTCTGATATTACTAAGGATGCCAAAACATTATGTTCATTATTTTGCAAAGTTGTTGAATGGGCGGGGCCAAAAAATATTGTACAACTTGTAACAGATAATGCTGCAAATTATAAAAAGGCAAGGGAATTACTGCATGAAAGGTTTGGTAACATTTGTTGGTCTCCATGTTCTGCTCACTGTTTAAATATTATTCGTAGAGATTTTGTGAAAATAACTCATATTCAAGATCTTGCGAAAAGAGCTTCAAAAGTTACAGTTTTTGTCTACAATCATGTCTTTATTCTAGCTTGGCTAAGAAAAAGAGAAGGTTGGAAAGAAATTATAAGGCCTGGAGCTACTAGATTTGCTACAACTTTCATAACTTTGAAAAGCTTATATGAACACAAGCTTGATTTGCAGGCTTTCATAACAAGCAAAGCTTTCTTTGATTCAAAGCTCTCCAAAACAGTTAAAGGGCAAGAAGTCTCATCCATCATTTTGGATACAAAATTTTGGAATGACTGCTTGGTAAGTTCCAAATTGACTGGGCCTTTAATTCGATTATTGAGAATTATGGATTCTGATGAAAAACCATCTATGAGATTTCTTTATGATGGAATGTACATAGCAAGGAGAGCAATCAAGTTAATGTTTAAAAATTCCAAAAGGTTGTACAAACCTTACACAAGCATTATAAAGAGGAGATGGGATCGTCAACTAAGACAAGGCATACATTGTGCAGCTTACTTTCTTAATCCACATTTTCAATATGATAAAGAGAATTTTTGCATGAAATCTGAAGTGATGCAAGGTTTAGTTGAACTGATTGGAAATAAAGATATATGCCCTAAATTAACAGCAACAATGAATGAAGTTAGGCTTTTTCGTTATAATTTGGAAAGCTTTGGCAAACCAATTGCTCTAACGATGGCCAAAGAAATGCAGCCTGGTAAGTCAAATAAAAATGTTAGAATG